AGAGCATTCGCCAAAGTACATGATAATTCTAGAAACGTTGCGTCACGTGGTCATGTGACTCGCTGACGCAACAATACAAAATACCCTTTAACAAAGAAATTAAACTTACGTTAACTCTTGAACAATGATCAACTGGCCACCTTTAATTTAACATTCTACACCAACAACCAAATAACACAAAATGCCAATGCATAAATCGGCATCATAAATGACAGTCAACTCATTGAATTATTTTAACATAGATACAATAAATATAAATAAACGGGAAAATGTTACAAAAAAGGGAAAATACTCAGGATTGCAATAAACAGAAGAACACCTATTACAAAGCTACAAAAGCATATAAAATACTCGCAAATTACAACAACAACAACAAAAAAAAAACATTACAAAATTAATGAAACGTGGAAAAAAATTCAGAGTTACATTAAACAAAAAAAAACAACCATTTAAAAGTTAGAAAGATATAAAACTACTCAGAACTTACAATGAACAGAAACATTCTACAAAATTACAAAACAAAATACAGAGGTATATAAAATTGGCGTGCTTATCCAGAGCAGCCAGGTTTTATAGTGCGTCTTTAATTCTCTTGTGGACAGCCACAATTTTCTTGATTTCTTCTTGGGCATTGACCAGGGCAATTTTTGTATTAACCAAGTCTGCCCGAAGACACTGCATGTCTTCATCAAACCACGACGAAAGTGTTGGTCTCTGCTATAGTTGATCTCGTTTTCATGTGTCAGGCCTCTTGTCACTTTGCCACTATATCATAGTATTGGCACTTGAGTGGTAGGAGCTGTTGGATAAATTGTTGGTAATTCAACACTGGGCTGTTACTGGGTGGTCTTTGTAGCTCTTTTTATAAGCGGTTCTTGGTTTGGATTTCGCGCAAAGCTACACGATGGGTATCTGCGTTACCCGTACCTAATTTAGCAGTGATATACTACAGGAAGTGCAATTAGTCAGCACCATCCATCGACAACTCTTGAGTTATTCTTTTACCAACAAATAGTGAGATTGGCTGTCACGTTATAACGTCCCCACGGCTGAAAGGGCAAGTATGTTTGGTGAAGGGGATTCTAACCTGAGGCCCTCAGATTGCGAGTTGAGCACCTTAATCACCAGACCATGTCGGGCCGATCAGCGGTTCACTGACAGTAACCGCTGTTTATAGCAAGATATTTTAGCACACTAATTTGAAATTCTTCCCGGGAATAGAGAATGACGTGGAAAAAATTGAAAGTCGATACATAATATTCATTTAAAAAGTATTACCATTGTCAATTTTGTAAAGAAAATATGTGATAAAAACGAGATATTCCTCATATACTCAGATCTATATGTTGGAAAATTATGAATTGATGAATGAAGTCTCTTTTGTAAATTGTTTGTTTAAGTCCAAAACTACACAATTGGTTAATTATCTGCATTGTACCCACTACGTGTATCAAATCACGATGTTCAGGGTTTTTAATACCTAAGTTTACTGCTGAGCCACTGGTGAGGGGGTGGGGGCTGTATAAAGTTATAAATGTTTAGTAGTTAATTTTTGTTCACACAATACTGAATAACATAATTTAAACATTTAATATGATTGATTTTTTAAAGTTGATTTCTTTAAGATAAGAAAAAACTGTAGCTGACATGAGAAATGGGGACATAAAAAGACCTTGATGAAGACTGTTTGATTTGGAAGGAATGAAATGATGTGTTTGTTTGCTTTTATGCAGAAAGGCTGTCTGAGCTCTAACCACCATGGGTATCGTTACCCGATGTTTAATGTTATGAGCCATTATACTTGTCGCTAAGCCAGCGGGTGGGAGCCAGAAAAATTAAATGAACGTTATTCCAACATAGTTAAGGAGTACTATGTATAATATATTGTTGCGTCAGCGAGTCACATGACTACAGTGACGCCACGTTTCTAGAACTATCCTGTACTTTGGCGAATGCTCTAGTATTTACTAGATATAGGGTAGTCGGGTATATATAAGAGGGGGAATGTAATGTGTGTATAGACAGTGAGTAATTGAATTGCAGTCAGAGAGAGACGTATTGTTGTAGTTAACGTTCGTTCGTTATTATAGTTTGTTATAACGCGACT